TTCCCTACAGTTTTTTTTCAGTTCTCAACATTCTTTTAAGTCTGGATGCCAAATTACTCAGCATAGTGTATGCAGAGTTTGGTTAGCTTTGTATACAAAAGTTATTTCCTCTTTTAATCTGCTAAAAATTTCCTTGTTCATTCACTTAAGTATTATGTCAAACTTTTATTGCACAGGAACCTCATAATGACATTCTGTTCAACTAGTCCTGAGCTAAGGTTGCTACTTTCTAGATACAATGTCTCTCACTTTCTAAGTACTGGTCACATTATTTATTTGTAAACAGATCACCTTGTATATGATTGGATTACAGTGCATTTGGTTAAGCCTTGTTCTTTTGCATGAATGATATTGAAACCGATCATTTTGAACAATGAAAAAACCCCGCAGATACTAGCTTAAGCAAATACTGACCTGGTACAGGGCTTTCTCTTTCAAATGGTGGAGCAAGGCGATCCAGTGGGGGTTTTGTGCTTCTGTCTATAGAAGGAGCTGGGGCTAAAAACAAAAGCTGCGTAAGATAATTTGCTGGTATAGGTCAATATATCTTTGTTTTGCATAGCCAGGAACTGGTGGTACTTCTTAGAATAACAAGTGAGGCTTCTGTGTATACAGTAGAAGAGAGTGGAACTGAGGAGCTAAAGGCAAAAGTGAAGTGCTATGTAGCCTGTGGGGAAAGCTTTGCAAAGAGAAAAGCAGCTGTACTTACGTTTCAAAGGCTTGATATTTCTGTCTCTACTCAAGTCATTGCTGCTTGGTGGAGGAGGAAAAGCTGGCAGCTAAAACAAATATTTTACATGTGGTTAAAGTGTGTCTTCAACTTCCTGTTTTAATTTTAGTATATTAACCCCACCACATCACATCTGCCAATCTTTTGTCTCTGCTACAGCACAAGGAATGGGTCTCTGCTTAGTGCAGGAAGGATCGGAGCCATTAACACTCCTGAAGAATGACCTACATATATGGGGTTTTGTTAGATGCAGAGTTGCCTCCATCTGTTTCGTATCACAAGGAATTCTCTAGTGGATGTTATGCTTGGGGAGGTATGAGTATTGTCAAAGGAAACAGGAGCTTCAACAATGCTGTTGTATCTTTGCCTCTTCAACGCAGCAGGTGTTAGTTTTGAAAACTGGTAATGAAATGAGTGGATGTAAATTTGTAGTTGAGAAATATGTATTAAGTCTGTATTCCCGAGTGTTGCTGGCTGAGGCAGGGGGGAGAAAGGACTGTTCTTTGTTACAGGGAGAGCTGGGGTCAAACAGCATTGTGTTGTCAGCAGCTGCAAAAGATGTTTGCATCTAAACCTAGATTTCTGTGGACAAATGTCTTCCAATGTTCGTTCTTATTCAAAAACAAAAAAAAATAGAGCGGCAATATAGGACAGCAGTCTTGAGAACTCATGATACCTGAGTCCTGTGTGTTTTATTTACGTGAACTGTGACACTGGGTCACACCAAAAGTCCCTCTGTCACATCCTAAAATTGCCTTTACTTGCGCACATGGGTAGATCTAATGTACATCTGTTCTGGCGTGCAGTGAACCTATAGTGCCAGTTGTAAACAGCACAATAGCTTTCCGTTTTGAAGTATTGACAGGACCAAAAAAAGGGAAAAAAAATCTGGGTCATTGGGGTTCTTATTATGCAGTTCCTTATACTTTCATGTGGTCTGGATTCAATTAGGCAATTGCGCTAGAAGTATAGCTTGGAGAGACCTGGCCTTTTTTTTTTCTTACAAGTATAATTAAAGAAACAAAGAGGGATCTTTTACAAATCTATAATTTATATGGGAGAGTCATTCACAAGTGGGTACAAATTTCCAGTGTAAGAAACAGCCAAATAATGGGAAATAATTTAATGTATTTGTCCCATGGAATTGAATTGTTCCATGAAAAACTGGTCACCCTGCGATAGAGTTCAAATCTATTTTGATGGCTGAAATTCTTCCTCTACATATGCTATCTGAATAAAAATAACATTACATTTTGACTTCAGAGAAGGTACTGGCAAAGGATATAGGTGAAATATTAAGAAAGAAACGTACAGAAGCACCTCTTCCCCCAAATGAGGCTGGTACTGGGGACGGGACGGGTCGCTGGGGTGGTACTGGAGGCTGATGTGATGATCTCGTTGTTGGAGGTCTGTCTGAAGAAAACAAAAATCCCAAACTAAACAACTACACAAAGGGTTTGGTTGTTTTATTCTCATTAGATCTTTATGAAAAGAGCCTTTGCAATAACCTACGTGCTTAAGTTACTATGTCCTAAAGAGATTGGTGTAGTGTCTAATGGACAGTTGCTTTGTGATCAATGTTGTTTTGGGAGTTACAGGCTTGTCTGTCCCTTTGGTGGTGAGGTGATTCCATCTGCTAGTCTGTTGGCCCACGTTATTTATTTTCATTCACTGCAGTGCAGCGACTGTGGGGAACACCAGCCAGTCTAGATGGCAGTTTTGTACTCCTGTATTTCACTCCACAGCTGCAGGCTGCTGAAAAATCAGCCATAAAACAAATGACAAGCAGAGGAAGCTGATCTCTTTCTTTTCCCAATTTTGACTGGAGATTTCTGCCACTGTCGTGACAACTTGCTCTGTTCCAGGTTGCACTACTAAAGCTCATTCAGTATGCATATGTGTTTAATTTCATGCAGGTTCAAACCCAAGGCCAAACAATGCACACATCACATTAAACTAATCTTTAATCCAACAGAGCTTGTCTGAAGTAGAAAATTTAGTTTTAAAAGCCACGACGCCACCAACATGCAGCAAGTCTGTGTCACTAAATCTTGTTCATGAACTACACTGTTGACTTCAAGGAAAAACCTTCTATATTCCATTAGCAGCCACCTAAAATACGGCTGACAATGTGTGCAAATATAATCTACAAATTATTAATAACACTTCAGTTTTAGTAATTACCTATATAATCTGTGTTGTTTGCAAGTGACTTGGCAGGAAATATGACATTGTGGTGTGCTTCATCATTATTGGATGGAGGTGGCTCATAGCCGTCACTGTCATGTTCTGCTTCCTCAGGTTCTTCTGTTGGTGATTCATAGTCAGCCTCATCTTCCTTTTCCTGGTCATCATCAGGGCTTTCATAGTCATCATCTTCATCCTGGCAAATGTACATAAAAGACGGATGCTGTAATAGCATACTGAACACTGCAGTACAATTTCCTTGTGGCCTCTCACTGGGGTATTTTTTTGCTCTGGAGGATATCAAATTTTTACAACCAGTTTGAGTGAAAAAATTCTCTGTTGAAATAGAATGGGGAAAGGAGGCAGCATTTTATTAATGCATACAGCACTCAACAGCTTAAGAAAGGAAACGAGTATCATTTTATAACAGTAACTGCAGTGGAAGGTCAAGACAAGGTGATAGCTTATTGAAATGCACAGTCCTTTAGTTTTAGGTAACAGACAAGGCACCAGCAAACAATTCAGTGCTTCTTAGAAACACACTTGAGCAGCAATTGATGCCTGATGATATTCTTTCTTACTTAATAGCATGTACTCTACAGCCTGCAATTCAACTATTTAAAAATGTTTCAGAAAAAAAGAGGTCTTTGATATGGGTCTTGGTACCCTCTGCTGATCTGGCTCAAAACAGCTTCATACAGCTTGCAGGACCTAGTAAGAACACAGTGCAAATCCAGTAGTGGTCATTGCGCACGTCTTCTGTGCAATCTGCTGAGGCTTACAAGAAAAAGACTATTCAATTTGTCATTGGTATCTTGGCTGAAAGTTCCAGACTAGCTCTGTATTGACATAGAGCCCAGCTGTCCTATAGGTGGTTATTTTTACCTTTTGTGCTCCTAAAATAGCTGCAAATCTCCTGAAAACTTAGTAGCAAGTGGTTTTTAAAAATTACTCTCCATTTTTTGCAAATAAACATTGGCACCGGTCGTTGTAAGAGATCTTCATGTACCCGGACTGGGCATCAGTCAGCTTTTTCATTTAGCTGGCTGAGTTGTGTATGCTTCCTGTAATGACACTTACCAATGCATTTTCTATGCCGAAAGGCAAAGGGAACTTTTGCAGTCTAGTTGGCTTCAATAAATTAGATTTTACAACAAACCAATTCTGGAGAATAAAATGGCAAGAATTTGCCATTGAATAATATAGCAACCTCTCCTATACTAGCCACCCTTTTTAAGAGCTTGAAAGAGGTATATAAAATTCAGCTGAGGTTCTGTGGAGACGTGGTTGTAGACTCTGAGCTTCTACTTGAGCCGGGGTTATAGGACTGCCATTCTGAAGCTCTGCCTTGCATTACTGGGGGAGACTCTTTTCTCTGTGGAGAAATTTGTATGCAGCTACTCCAGTCGTTCATGGTCTTGCTTCTCTTTCTCCTCATCCTAACAAGCCCTGGCATTGCTCCCTCCATGCGTGGTGCCCAAAGTAGACAATGCAAGAAACGATAGAGCTTACAGAGGAGGTAATCCATTCAACCAGTAGGTTTTGTTAATCCTGATACTCACAAATGAAGACCAGCCGCCATCTTCTTGACTGTATCCTGCGTAAAGAAGCATAACCACAGGCTTCTTAGAACGTGCAACTTTAAACTATCAAGATGTAACTTGACAAAAAGGACACAACAAATCCCATATCAGTTCTGAACCACAATTCTATGTCACGGGAACAAGGCAGGTCTTTCAAGGGCAGGCAGTCATGAAAGGTACTATGAATAACATTCTGATTCAAAACTAAGAGTGTAGCTGTCCTTGTATGAGATGATATATGTGCTATCACTTCAAGTTTGTCCTACACTTCCAGTTTTAAATATAATTTGAAGTAGAATGCTTTCAGAATGAGCAAAGACTTCTTATCTGTTTGTTTAATACTATATTAGCTTTCATGTCAAAAGGTTTTTTAACTTCAGTAGGACTGGGGGAATATAATAGCTTGCAGAAATTTTAAGTGCTCATGGCCTATTAAGAAAACAACTGAAATAAAACTTCAGAACACGGCAGACATCTAGCAGTTGCCTCTCTAATAAAGGGTACTGCTAGGAGTAGGGGCACGGGGCAGAGGTGTTGCAACAGAAATATAGAAGCGTGGATACTATGTATTGGGTTAAAGAAGGCAGTTTGGGGATGCAAATCTAAGTATCTCTGCGCTTGCCTTTCTTCACCATCTTTTCTGTTTTAAAAATGTTTTTTCTTACTTGTTCTCTTGTTCTCTTGTAACTACTCTTTATTATTTCTGCAATTTTTTCATGCTCTCATCTTTTCCTGTTGCTGCTTTGGCTTGCCCCGCCTCCCCCACCCCCCTTTTGCTCTGCCCTGCAAGGATTAACTTAATATTTTAATATTTTTAAAAACTTCTTGTTGTTAAAGATTATCTGCCAGTACACACTTACCTGGATTTTCAGGACATTTTTGTGTTTGTGCCCTACAACAAAGATACAAGCAAATAAATTCCTTCCATTTGCCATTCTTAAATGTTTGAAGCATACTAAAATCTATTGCAAATAGAGGTAATGGTTAGCTTTAACAATAGAATGAAGTTTATATAGATGAGTTTAACTCTGCCCAAAATGCCAAACCCACACTACTTCATATATCACATACAGGGTCCTAAATGTAAGCTAAACTGTCTTGAAAAAAATTCAAGTCAGTGAGGTCGAGTGCTTAGAAACAAGGGGACTCAGTAAATAAATTTACCAGGGGCTCCAGTCCTGCAAATAGAAACTTTATTTATTAATATTCAAGCTGCTGATAGTCAAGTTCATAAATATTTGTAGGGCTGATCAATATTTGTATGGTTTTCAGTTCTAGTTTTGAACTCTAGTTAATGCAAAGGTGTAAAATCATGTTATCAGATGATGTAAAACCATGTTATGTAGACTAGACATTCAAGGTCAGGCTGGATGGGGCTCTGAGCAACCTGATCTAGTTGAAGATGTCCCTGCTCATTGCAGGGGGGTTGGACTGGATGACCTTTAATGTCCCTTCCAACCCAAACTATCTGATGATTCTATTTTCATTGTATATGTATATGAATATAAATTGTTCTTTTCTCATGCAATGTTCTTGCAATTTTTGCTTTTGTTCTATCGCAAGAATATTATATTAATGGTAAGTCATAAAGTATTAAAAAGTGTAACGATATATAGGTCTGTGAAATGCATTCATGATGACTTATTAATGCAATAATATATGCCTGGGCTTTATAGCATTCCTAAAGATTGATTTACTCAGGTGGAAAATTGTATGAAATTTATATGTTTTTTGGTTCTGGACATGGCAGAAGTAACTAGGGTGTACGTGGGCTCAGGCTTCGCTATTCTTAACAGATGACATTAACAAACCAGCATTTTATTTTATGTAATTTCTAGGCTCTCCCTCTGACCCACATATTATTGATCAAATGCAAATCTGTGCAGAAAAGATATATAGAAAATTTTGAAAAAGAAAGGTGAATTTTTTTACTTACCATTTTGGAAGGAAAGATAGCCTCCCTTCATTTCTGTTTATTTCTTGACTTAGTTTACTTACAATTCTGTTTAAAAGAAAGACAAAAATAGTTTAAAAAAAAACTCCTTGAAATTTATCAGTTGTTTCCTTAGCTGCTTTCTCTCAATATTTGCTAAATTAAATCTGGTAATTCAGAATTACTATTTATGATGTGGTAAGTATATTGAATTTATCATCTTCTAAAGTTGCACTATAGCATATCCAATTGAAAACTAGACTGTTTTTACATAGATAAAACCCCATATTGTTGGATCAAGTTTAAAAAAAACATCAAACCCGGCAAGCCTTAGAAACTTTGGGTGTGGTAGACATCACACGCTAGAACGCTGCTTTACATAATGGTGATTGCGTTGGTATTATTTTGCATGGAAAAGCAGATAATGCTTCAGGAAACAGCTTCTACCAAACTTATGGTTGCAAAAGCAGGGATTACACGTACCCTGTGTCTACTCCATTCTTTTTGCCTCTCTTCTGCAACCAAGATATACCTAATCCAGAATCTTTCCAGTAAATATGAAAAGGTTGATTTATTCCATGTTATAACACATTTGCAGGGCAGGGCAGAAATATTCATGGAATATTGGGCCTAAACCATGACAATACAGCAGTAGGGTGAATAGCAGCCAATGAAATGCAATCTTGAGTAATATTTCAGTCAGGAGCATGCATTTATGCTGCTAACATTGCTGGCATCCATAGCCAGCACAGGCATCTGGGACTGAAGAGTGTTTATATTGACTGACTCCCTGAGAACAACTCTGAGGTTACAGGGCAGTCATTACTGAGATTAACAGAATTAAGTCCACTGAGAGCAACAGAATTCTGCTCTGATAGGAATGAAGTTTGCCTCTATGATTATTTTGTTTCAAATAAAGTTTTTGTTTCAAAAAAAACTTATAATGAGTCATGGTCAGGTACTTAATTCTCAGTATTTCTTTTTGAGGAAAGTCCCACCGAGAAAATCCTGTGGCAACCAAAGCAAATTGGTTACATACATCTGGTTAAAAATAACCCGTTTTACTCCTAGCTGATATTATCAGGTCTATCAGATACAGTAATTGTGGAAATAAAAGTAATATGAAAAAAAGTCAGGAACTCAACATGTCTGTTTACCACAGATTCTAAATTCTGTAAAATCTTAACTTCATTGTTTGTTAGTGCAGAATTCTTTTCCATACTTCTTAGATCTGGTCAATCAACTTTTATATCAGCATTGTGAAATCTTTGCTTACGTCCAGGCAGTTACCACTCTCTTTTGTTTTTCTTCTTCTTTCATATCTTTTTCTGCTACTCAGCAATAATAATCCCCTATTTTTTTTCCAAACTACCTCCTTCGTACATCTCTTTCATGTCTAACTGATTTTTTTGGGCTGGAACTTGAGGAAGACAAGCTTTCAAGCAATCTAATATTTTTTTAAAAAGCCAACAGAAATATACTTTTTTTTTTTTTTGATCCTGAACCATCTAAAAATCTTTCTCTATTTTGACTATCCCTTCTCTTGCCCTTGCTGCTTCCCTAATACTTACTTTACTGTAATTCAGATTAAAAGATAACTTCAAGGCATAGGGTTGCTCTGTTTTATTATGGAAAATTATGGACAAAACAGGCTGCCAGCAAGTATCAGAGAACATGCAATTTCAGATCAGTATGATTGTGCTGTCTGAAAAGGACGAAGATGGGTAATTTGAAGTTAAGGATATGTACTCAAGGATCCAAATATGAAAATAGAAAGACAGAGGAAGAATTTTTTTTTTTTTTTAGGAGAGTACTTGGCACTCTTCTTATTTGAAGCAAATATGTCATACTTGCCCCTTTTGAAATAAACACATGCACAAATGTTAATAATTTAAGAAGGAAATCTGACATCGTTACCTGTAGATGAAATCTACATCATTACCCAAGCATAAAGCAAGAAAAATGCCAAGCATCTTTTATAAAGCAAGAAAAATGCCAAGTTATGGACATAGGGCTCTTCTTGCTCTTCTTTCCCAACCAATCAAGAAATTTCCTTCTGCTGCAGGTGATAAGGAAGTTGCTGTGTGAATAATAAATTCCATGTAAAACATCAGGAAATGTTCCAGGGTGAACAGTGCACTGCATATACCAGTGCTTTGGTTAAGAAGTGGATTACAGAACTTGTGTGTGGCTTATTCTCTGTTGTAGAAGTAGTAGAGGAAGGATCTTTCACAATATTGTGTTTATTTTCAGCTAAAGAAGGAAAATGAAGATCACTGGTTTTAGAGCTAATAATTCTTTTAGTTCCGACTTCCATGAGACAGGAGTGTTTGGAAGCTTTCTGGACTAAACCTGGGCTGGCTGCTGTGAGGATTTACACCAACGGATTTTTGAGGAAAAACTGAATGGAAAAAGTTGCTCATCTTATCTTGCTGCCAAAAAAATTAGTCATTTGCTGCTTAAAATACAGTGTCTAATCTTCACTTCAAGTTTATTTGAAATGCTTCAAACCAATGGCTCAGAGAAGTTATTAGAAAAAAGCAAAGTTTAGAAAGGTAACACTTTACAGGGAACATTATTAGAGAAGATCGCTGCACTGAGCAGCTGAGTCTGTAGCCATGTGAGGAAGGAAGTACCAAAACCACACTGCTTTCTGAGTTGTGGGAGTGGATGATAGGAGAGGATAAGGCAACAGCACTTGCAGAAAATGTTACTCAGACTTCTCTTTCTCTTTCTACCTCCTCCGCCAGATGCTTGGCTTAAAACTGGCAGGAAGTTGAAAATAAAAAAAACACCACACAACCAACCCCCAGAGCAGTACTCCAAAATTGGCTTTTCTTCGCTTAACTGCAGATATGGTTGTGAGTATAGTCCAGAATCCATTCTACCTGTATTGGGATAAAGGACTTAAGATGGGTAAGAGAGATGGAAGGCAAAGTCCTCTAAGGCCAGGAAGTTGCGTATAGAACACTGTCAAGAGCATAGTTTGTGATGAAGTCTTTGTTTTGACCTTTGAGAAAAGTCTGTGGGGCAGATGCAATACTATTATATTGGCTTCAAACCTGACGGAATATCAGTTGTGCTCTAAACTTTTCAACAACCTGTAGCATCCCATCTGAGAGCATGTGTGCACATACATTCCCTTCTGCCCAAGGCATACCTTTTTAAGAGAGAAGGGCACCACAGATTTCTTAAATTTTAGGTTTCTGCTTTGACTCTCCTCAAAGTAGAGGAATTTCAGACTGTGCCATGTTTGTAGGCTCTGAATGTGTCCCATTCAGAATGCAGCACACTTACCATGTTTGAACTGGCAGACACGATTATGTACTTTAGTGCAATGATGCTCTTTTTATTACTGGAAATTTTCACAAGTGCTATGGGGTATGGCATAAGCTTTCTGACCAAGGCTGAAAAATTGAAATCTCAGGTTTGCCAGCAACCTGCCACTGGGGATGGCCAAATGGATCAACAGCCTGTATGAGTACCTTGACTTACTGAAAACTTGGAAACGTTTTCTCTCAAGATAGTAAATAATAACAGTGGCAAAGACTGACTTCAGTGTTTAGACCATGGGTCTGATATCAACCAACCACCAATGTTATTTTGAATTAGATCTTTGCTTTTTCTTGTTTATTAATTCTGACCACATCAAGGCACATTCTGTTGAATGTACTTTAAAATAGTTTGCAATACTCATGTTTGTTATCCACAAGTATTAAAATCTTTATGAGCTTCTGTGACTGCCAATAGTGATGAGCATTAAGAAAACTCCATGTGTCCCTTAAGCTGTATATTGGCCTTTTGTTCCTTAGGTTTGTATCAAAATGTTAATGCCACCCTTATGATTAGGTCTGAGTTTCATTTAGTGCCTAAGACAATGTCTGCTCTGTGTAAAATACACCATGTCCCTTCCCTTTTTCACCATTATACCACTTACAAGACACAGTGTGTTGTTTGTGAAGCTTCAGGTGTGTATGTTAACCCAGTGGTATTAATATTAACTTCAATAGTTCTTTCATAAGATACAGCAAGTACAAGAGTAATATGAATTAGTTCAACAAAAAACATAACAGTGCAGTTTTTCATATTGTTACAAAAATGCCAAGTGTTAAGCATAGTGTATGTTTGAAGAAAACAGTTTGCGACTGAATTAAGCTATTAATAACTGAACAAATTGTTAGGTCAACTGTGATGCTGTCTCTTACTTAGGATGATAGCTGCATTCTTGATAGCCCAATCCCTAAAACTGATGGTCGTGCCACAATTATTTATTTTAATTTCTCAGTGGAAAGAGGAAGAAAATGTGTGCGTTAGGTGTTCCTACGAATAGATTACTTGGCCCAAATGTTCCCGCTCCTTAAAGGTCTGTGGCAATGTGATAATGGCTGAGTGTCTCCTGAGCCATAGATTTCCACTAAATCTGTGAACAAGTGAAGTAGCGAAAACTCTTCATGGTCTGGAACCTGGAGACTGGGTTCCACCACATGTAATCATGCAGTATCAGGTCTTCAAAGATCCTTCATCAGTGCCATAGCAGATCTATGTAGGTCACTGGAACAGATAGGGATTTAACTTTTCTAGAATGGCAACTATGCTTAAAATCTTAGGCTTACTTATGGTTAGTATTCTTAAAAGTGTATTTTTACCAAGTGATTTAAAGCTGATACTCTGTATCATCAAATAGATTTGTATCTATTCAAGTAGAATTACTGCGTGGTGGCATTTTCTATTTAGCTTAAGAAGTGCCCAAAGCTCAGCATGTGTCCGAGTACTGCCTTTGAACTGAAGCCTTAAATCAGTCCAAGAATCTCTCTTCGCTCCCTCTTCCCTATGTCCACCCAGAGCCATTCAACCACGACACAGAACTGGCAAAGACCAAATGGCTTTTTCCACCTCTCTCTTGTCTGAAGGAAAGGGTGAAACTGAAGTGGTGAGTGGAGCTAACTGTACTCTGCCTTTTGCTTTGGGACCTTGTACCTGAGCTGCAACGTTGATTCCACTGTGCACACAATAGGGAATGAAAGACAGGCTGCCACGTTAAATCAAAATATAGCATTAACCAAAGCTAATTTTCTAAACTTCTCCCTAAGATTGCTTTCATAGCCACGTAAGTGCAAGAGGTCTCAAGGTTCCAAAGAGTGACAGCATCACCAATGTAAATATTCTGAATGAGTGTAAAAACTTCATATTTATCAGAGAAGCTCCAAATGGAATAATAGTTTTAAATTTGCGGGTTTATTTAAAGGCCTAGATACTGCAAGGAAAGGAGGGCACGTGGGTTTCCAGTTGTCTAATGCTCTGCTTGGTACAGCTTTACACGTAACTCAAATATGAAGAAAACTCTTGGTTTTGATCCTCTCAAGTACTCCATGAAAAACTCAGTCTTTATTCAGTCTTCGTTTTCCATCCTCCACAAGATATAATGCCTGAATAGACATGCGGAATAGATTTCCTTAACTATGCCAGTGAAGATGACCTTGTGTACAAGACCTCAGTGTTTCTGGCAGGCATACAAGAAAGTTAGGTGGTGACCACAAACAAGAACGGGAATCCCTACTGAGGTAAAAGAACTGTGGAGTTTGTTATGATCCCTCAAGAAACCTATGTGTGGCCTATACACGTGAAGGTGAAGCTAATCCTGTGCAGACTTCTTGTCTGTTAGGCCTTTTGCCTGCAAAAGGGTTGCCAGAATAGAACTTGCAGGACTGTCTGGATGCATCGGCCACTTTTATAAGGTGCCCTTGTATATGTAAAATTTTCAAAATGATGTTTAAATCCTCTTTTGGTATTTAAAAAGAAGCCAAAAGAAGATTCATAAAGATGTGGACCTGTAGCATGCTTGGTGGAGATTAACTTTCAAAATGGTATCTCTGTTAATAACAGCAGAAGATTGTGTATGTGGGGGGTATTAGTTTAAGGAAATGGCTTATCATACTTTGCGTAATACCTACTTAGACACTTAAAGCTTCTTGTAAAAGTCACAAAATCATGCCCAAGTAATGACACAGTTATATTCAAGACTTGATCAGTAGATTTGCTCAAAGGTATGTATTTAGTAAAACCACACACCCAGCTTAGGAGGGCTGTATGGATGTAGGCTGTGGTTTGCAAACCTTACACAGTTGCAAGCGCTGGGTTCTGTTCTCAGTACAAGTAGGTCAGCATAACCCCGCTAACGTTATGGAGAACAATCTCTCTTGTATATATACCTTTTATCCATTCCACTGAACAATGCTGTAAGTGTGATGCTTGCTATTTATGTTAAGCATTTTTACAGAATATGCTCAGATTTTAGCACTGTTAAGTATCAGGTGGGATACTACAATATGCCAATGTGTATTTCAGCTTGTAGAACAACTCTTCCTACTAGGTAAGGTTTGCATTATGATATAAAAGTAAGGTGTGAATGTTTTCTAGAAGTCAACAGCAAGCACTTTGCATCTTGGTGAGACCATAGATTCCAAAGCAATGACTAGAAAAAGCTGTTCACTTTCTGCCAGAGTGTTACAAGGTAAGCAGACTGTGCAAATCGAATTTTCAAAACATTTTTGAGATATCAATAGATTAGATGAGGAGATAGGAGCAAACTCCACATTGTCAGATTTCATTTTAACTATTCACCTATGACATTAATATCTCTTGTATGTGTGGTTTGGTTTTACTTACGGCACTCTGAGTTTGGTAAATTCCTGAATATCATTTTCAGACAGGTTTATTAGACCTTCCACTAACCACTTTTGACCATGAATTTGAAAGGAAATCACCAAAAGTTCTCAAAATTACAGGTTTAAACAAGGAGAACTCAAGGCAATTATGGCAAAGGACTGTTAAGGAGGGCCACATTACTATAGAATTACAAGCAATGTGTTTTACAGTATGGTAAGATGAGTTTTTCACAGACAATCTGGTGTAACTCTGGTCCCCCAGTCTCAGTAACCGTAGTTCAATGTTGCTTTTAAGTGACAGTAAGTTCAAAAATGCAGAAATATCACGGCCTCTTTTTATTATAGCATCTGGGTCCCCTTACTAACACATCATACATGACCAATCCCTATTATTGGGAAACTTATTCTATGAAAATATCACTATGATCTTAAGAAACGTCATGTCCAAGGCTTTCAAGTTCAAGCCCTTGCATATCTGATCCGAACAGCAGTATCCTCCCGCTCTCAGATCTAGCCACCAGCTTACCCATGAGCGCATGAATGTTACAGACCACACAGGTATTTCAAAATTTTTCAATATTCTTAGCTTCACCAAAACATGTTACCGAAGCTCTGATGCATCAGAAAAGGTGAAGCAGACTGTATCTCCCATAGCAAAATCAAGATATGCATAGAGGGAGTGAGCCTGGAACTGGGAAATGAGCAACAAAGATATTTAACACTGAATCAAATGTTCCAGGCTGATTTATCTTTAACACCTACCTAAAGGAAAAGCACATGATGAAAATCACTTGAACTCCTCAACTGTTGTGTACATACCTGACATTTTATTTACTTTGAGTTAAAGTCAACAGTTAAGCAGTGAAGAGTCAAATCATACTTTGAAGGTAACCCTCGCAAAAGTGTTTAACCTTTGTGTAGCTGCTGTCAGTCAAAGAGTTTATGGACGAGTTCTTTTGAATACCCCCCAGACATTTTTTTTGCATTGCATCATTGTGCTTGAGCAGTCATGACAACACTCCTTTTATTTTGGAACATTCTTCTTTTTCTGTCAGTACAGTGCAATAAACAGGCCTCTAACTGATCACTTGCAAATCATTTGCCCAATGTTTCCTATGAGTTTTCACTGCAGAGCAACTAAGAGTATTTTTAGTGTTAAATTGCTTTGGTTTTACTTACGGCACTCTGAGTTTGGGAAATTTCTGAATATCATTTTCAGACATGTTCTGAAAAGGAAACACATGGTATATATCACAAAATTATCCATGGAAGACCCCGTGACTTACAGAAGTGTGCGTATTCAAAAATGGGGCATGAAGTTTCAACTGATAGGAACATAAAGTGCAGAGAAAAGCAATGCAGGGTAACAGCCTGCCCATCCCGTGGCTCATAAGAGGTGTGAACTCATTTTAATAAAAAAGCCTTTCTCTTTTTTTTTTTTGTTTTGTTTTGCTGGATGTTGGTTTTTACTTTATGTTGCTGCCAATTGTATTAAACTAGGTAGGAGGTTAATAAATACCATGTGTATTTGTTCACACACAAAATACTTCAACAAAATAATCACATCTAACTTCAAAGAGAAGTATTTCTGTAGCTAAAATGTTTTAATGATAGTTTGTTAAGAAGATCTGTAAGGACAAGTAAAATCTTAAACCAGGTCTTACCAGATGAGAGTTGGGTAAATGTGTTTGTTTACCAGCAGGTGAGCCATTCTTCCAGTGTTGATAACAAATTAATGGGACTCCGTGCAAAGTTAAAGTTAAGTAATTTGCTTCTCTGATTTGGGTTCTAACCCAGTTCTTTATTGGTGTTATATCGTCACATTGACTTACAGGCAAGATTAGAATCCATCCCTGCTCTCCTTCTCAAAAGAACTGATATTGTCAGAGATACTTAAGCTAAAGCAGTAAACCAAAAGATTCCAGAACTACTTTGTCTTCTATTTTTTTTCCTCTTTTCTTTCTCTTGCTTTCTGGATATTGCTTTTGATTGTACAGTGCCATACAGGAAAACATATCCTGTATGTATTTATTATTGAAGAAGTCTTGAGATACTTTAATTCATCTCAGTGGACAGCGCCAAACAATTAATAGAGAGCTACATCCTGGTAACATCCTATGCTGCTGATTACGGGTGTGAGCTCAACAGAACATGCATGGTCTGCTTGAAATCATCAGTGGAATTACTCCTGGCAATTTTGGAATTATGCTTCTCACAGTAAATATAAAAGCACAGGATATTTTAAATGCTTTTTTAAACACTTGTAGTTTTAAGGCAATGTACAATGAAATGCCCTTTGTAAAGGGCTGTTCCTGGTACGCAATGCAAACTTCTACCATAGATTTTGATCTTATGCTGTTTTGCTTCATGTCTTTTTAGTACAGCTAAAAAATATGGTATTTAAGTGACTTCAGAAGCTAGATTTATTCAACTCCTTCATGTCTGCTTGGTGAAATCAAACACCAAGACACCATGACTGCAAAGTTTCAGACTAAAACTGTAAATCATAAATAGAGCACCGTTTGCTGGAGTTTTGTCAAGAACCTTATCTGTAACATCATAGCATACATAAAATCACATGTTCTAGTGGAGATGTAGCTGGAAAACTCCTTGGATTTAAGAGCAGCCTTGGCAGCCTAACAAAAATCTTCCTAGAATCTGGGATGGGGGGAGAGTGTTTCTTCCCCTTTCAACCATAATACAGCAATTAGATTGCAGATTACTCCTGACCTAAGCTGAGATGTTCTAAGTCTTGAGAGCTTCACTGATGCTCCTGCAGAGAGAGTCAGCTCCCCTCTTCTTCCGTCATGCACGACTCCAAGTTTGGGATAGATTAGTGTAATATGAAAAGTTTTGTGAAAGTGTTTTGTTTGGTTTGATCACAAACTTCACAAACTCTCTTTGGAATATGGATGATAGTCTGATTCTTTCTGTCTTTCTTACTGCCAACAGTAAGAAGTTCCTAATTACACGTTGGTTCACAATGCTATCAATGATTTTCAGGACAGAACAAATCCCATCTGTGTTTTCCAGCACTATTTTGCCTCTGGGAGTACTCACAGGAGTAAAGCACAGAAAAAAATGTACCCCCTTTATGGAAATGTCCTGCAGGATTTACTGAAGAATTGTCATTTTTTCCTGAAGACTTTTTAAGCTTGTCTCTTGGAATTCTATCCTGGTGATAAACCTGACAGCTATTTTGAGTCTAAACTCTCATGAAAGGGCCATGTTGTTATTTTAAATATGAGAGAATTTTATCAGAGTAAGTTACATGGAATCCCTCCGGTTTTATTCCTACTACATCTCAACTGGACTTTCCTTGTGGTAGCCAGAAGGCACAGAAATGTGCCTTTGAAACCAGGATGTTGTTCTGATGAATAAGACAGCAATATTTTTACAGTCAGGTTTACCATATAGATCTGGCAATAGATACAAAACCTGCAAACACTCAGTCTTACCAGTTTCTTCTGTGCAAATGTAATTTGGCAGTTTCCAATAACTTACAAAATGTAAAAAGATGTTTCTTAGAAAACGCATTCATACAGAGAAGCATTTTTTTTCAAGATAGCATGGTACTCTAGAATATTCCACTTAAAGTCTCCTTTCGTTGTTCTGCTTAACAGGTGAACCTTTTTTGCATTATACAATTGGCAAGTAGGTCAAAAGCTTAAAAAAAAGTCTTGGCAGACATGAGCACCTGCTTGCTTGCTTAATAGAAAAGCATCCTATGAATCTATTAAGATGCTTCTGAGCTATGTAGTTACAGAAACACTCTGGAAATAATAAAAAGTTACAAAATTCACTTAGGAATGACACAGTTTTTGCTTTTGCTATTTGTACCACACAAACTTCCAGAATTTCATGATGCTTCCAGAGCAGGAACTCCCACTCCAGCCACAGATCCTTAGTGCTTGAGCTAAGGAGTATCTCTTAGGCGTTAGTAAGATAAATTTTGTGGCACACATCTGAATAAATCTGACTGAGGTGTAATATCCTGTTCCTAGGTGCTTGAAAGATTTTGTGTCGCATTTAGATGAAATGTCAAAAAGCTTGATAGATTAGGACAAGTAAATGAAAAATAAGAAGGCTTTAGAAGAGGTATGCATAGATTTCCCCACTATGACTATACAGATCATCAAAATGACTTATTTTGGGGAAAATACAATAGTTAATATTTGGGGGAAAAAAAGGGAGTAAAATGAAGTAATAATAAAAGCCTTTACACATCTTCATGGATGTGTATTTAAGACCTGAAAGCAGCAGCTATGTCAATGGAAGTTGTTAGCTTTTGTGCAGTTAAGTTGTTGGTAAAGCCTGGGGCAGTGTTGATTTAAACCCAGTGGGACTTTGCTTACTAGGTTTGGTGCTCTTAAAGTTCGTTGATTTTGTGTGTTGCTGCAGAAGAAATCTAATTTTAACTAGAGAGGCATGAAATGGAGATTACAATAGAAGGGCAGTCATTCTGACCAGGTCTGTGTCTTCTTTAGCAGTAGAAGGCAATTAATAAATGTGAGTTTTCTGTGGTTAATATTTGAAAACAAGCACTTCCTATAAAGGGAGAGATGAATTCAAGACAAGACTGTTGTTTTATAACCTCCCTGTCACTTTAAAAAATACTAAAATACATGCATATTAAACAACATGCTTGGGTTCCCAGCATTCCATATTTAAATCAAGATGTTTGCCTGATTTTAGCAAAGACATTTACTTCTGGTATTTATACCTTAGTAACCAACTGTGAGCTAACGAGGAGTCGAAACAATTGATTGGAATTTTACAGGAAGGAATTTTACAACTCTACTTACCAAAAACCTTTGTCCATTTATGCTGTGCTTTCTCACGACTTTCTCACAGTCCTTATACTTTAACTGTCAATGAAAAGAAGATGGTTATTACACCCCTTAATTATAAGAATAGACATGCTTAGCTTTGAGTAGATGCTTCAAGTTACGTTTTTGTATGCTAGAGCCTGTCGAAATGGCTCGCTTCGTTCTGTAAATGTGGATTTTTAAGACAAAGATTCTTCAGTGGACTTGAGGATTTTCATCCATTTAGGAACATATAATTCCTCACATTTAAAAACCACCTCCCAGTTTCCTGGCCCGTAGAAATATTTGGAAAATAGGTAGTTGTGGTACTGACTGGTATGAACGGTTGCGGAAAACAGGAAGTACAACAAAATCCTTAGTATATTGGAACGCTGAAGCCCTGATCCCAGTCACTGAATTCATTGTTGTGATCAAAAAGCTTCCTCCTCTTGATGGAAATGTTGCTTGTTAATCCTGGAAATTATCTATAATACCTGTAACATTTGGAAAGCTTTTCCACAATATTATGTTTTATGTTAGCATTTAGGACAAGGCCAGGCATTTTAGAAGTTGATCATGTACATAAGAAAAGAAAGCTCCTGGTCCTACTAGCCAAAAATTTAACAGTAATTTGGGGGACTTAGGAAAAAAAAAAAAAAAAGAACCAACCAAAAAACTAGCCTCATTTAGCAAGACATGACTCTTAAATATTTCCAGTGGGTCTCTTAAGGGTTTTTTTGTTTGAACAGTAGTAGCATAATGTGAGAACACAGCTTATATTTTTGATCCGGCTAGAATACATTTTTTCTGTTTAAAGCTGATCAAGTCCATACCAGAAGGAACCCAAAGAGCGGGCAGACAAAGTGACTTTTTGGAGCCTTCAAGACAGAAGAACGGTTCTGGTCCTCCCTGAAACCTGAATTAGTGAAAGCTATGCAGACAAATTATCATGTCTTGCTGGGATAATTCCCCAAAAGCAGATAACGTCTTATAGAAAGCATCATGTCTTTTCTTAGTTCTATTCTATTTATTCATTTTAAGGAGTAATCCCATAACTTGGTGTTACATGAGAGCAGATCCTGAAAATATTGGAACAGATGAGAGAGTATTTTTAGGAGCCACCTTCAGTTACTTATATGTAGAAACAGACCCAACTCTGCTAAATATTTTAGGATACAAATTAGGACTTTTGTGCAAACTGAGGACTTGAACCTGTAAATAATGTCTCTTTCATGTAGTGAATGCTCTGTGAAGCACACGTCTGTATGCAGCAGTGACAACTACTATACTTGGTAGAACGCATCAGTGTGACTGAGACCTAATCTCATTCTTAAAGTAACTGATGAAAAATACTGTTTAGCTATTAAAAATAACCCTCGGGATATTACAAATATGAACATCTTTGCTTTTTCTAAAAAAAATTAAAGTGTTTAGAAATATTTGAAGGTTTGGTGCTTTATTGGTCCTTCCCTATTTTGAATGCATGGTTTAAATTAACATAAGCTTTAAGTTAACATACATACAATCATAAATTAGATGTTATTACTGTTAAGTATGGAGTATTCTTATTTGACAGAAACTGAGGACTTTATTCATGCCAGTAATACATCATAGTATTGTTACATAAATTACTGGTGTGTATGCTGGCTGAATTTTGCTAATATGAAGGTGTAAGCTAACAATGAATTGATGAAAATATTACGACTGCCCTGTGTCATGACCAATCACTTCAAGTAAGAGATGATTTGAATATGATTGTCCTTTGAAAATCATCCCACAATTATCTCGGTTTAGGAGGAAAAAAAAATGCTTATCCTTCTTGGACTTGAATCCTGGTCTTTGAACATATGGCTGCAGGCAAAATATATTAGTCAGATGCAAATAAATCATTCTTAAGGTATAACATTCAACCTTTTAATGATATGTGTGAGGGAAATCGTATGAGTTTATCTGGGGAGAAGATCTGGTCACTTAGGGCAGTTGCCCAGAGCTGTCTGACTTAGGTTGACATTATTGTCTTACACAGATTTCTTAGATGAGTTTAAGCAGCTTTTGCTCTGATTCACCTTCCCAAAAGTGGAATGCCAAGATTATTTCTATCCTGGGGGTATCTGGACCAAGAGAGGGGGGGTACTCAAAAATTAATGTAACTGGGCCTTTTCAGTTATGATAGAACTTTCAGTTAATCCTTTTATCACTGTTAAGGATATCTTTATCAGCTCTTTCAGGAAGCTGTCTCCCTTCTTAGTTTCTTGGAAACGATAATCCAAACCACTATACACCAGTGTTGTAATGTTCTTTATATTTGTCTGAAGTTGCCTGTTGATAATCATCTCCTGCGTTCCACCTCCAATTCTTCGTTTCGCTTTCCTGTGCCATTAACCCCTGCACTCTAAAATTAGAAGTTTGCAAGTAGTTGGCAGTTTCACTTCTCTGGAGATTTGGTAGACATAGACTTTGTGTTAGATCTGCTTGTCTTTGTTAGCTAGTTTTGCATTCTAGCATCAAACTTGCCTCAACTCCGCAAAGAAAACTCTCATAGAGTTATAGGAGCTGTTGAAACAATAAATTTTGCATGATTTCAAAATGACGCCCAAACTGTTCCAGGTTTTATGAGTCTAGCCTGACAGCTCACTTGAAAAGTGGCCAGCTATGCCGGCATTACTTGAAAATCTTCCCAAATCTTCTGATTGATCTGAATGTTAAATTCCAAGCTGACCGTTTTGGACTTTGGGAGGAATGTACTCAGTTGCAATGGAGATGGAGCAGGCCCTATCTCCGATGTGAACTGAAAAATGAGCAATTTAGAAAGAATGCACAGAAAGGAAATTTCAGTAAAACTGGCTGAGTTACACATTCCTGGGCAATTACAAAGGTGTCAGCATCGTTGTGCAGAGGGTATATATTGGCAGTGAATTCCTGCCAATATGGCAGGGAATGCCTTTCAAAGTATTTATGCAGTGTGGAAACTCCTCTGAATTGTAAAATGAAATTTAGAGATTGTCACATGTGAAAAAGATGTCAGAAGAAATAAAAGTTCCTAGCTAGTCACACACGGTAACATCAGACAGGAAAGAAGGGGTAGCTAGTAATCTTGAGCCGTGAGTTTTGCCCAAGAAGTTTTAGAATAGAGAATTCAAACCAAAAGGTGAAAGATTTTTCCAACTGAGCCTAAAAAAATTAGGAGTCTGTGTATCCACAACTGGTAAGCTCCTGTCTGGATTCTCATGGATGTGATTAGCAAAGGCATTCAGAGGCTCATTTGTGAACACCGAACAATTTGAAAAAAAATCTCTCCTCTGAAAATCATTGAAGACCTAGAAAACTTGTAATATTCACACATTAAAGCTTTCTACAACTGTTAATATATGTATATCAATGACTGTTGTAGTAAAGTATGTATTTTCTCTGAAAAGCCGTGAATTTCTCTTATACCCAATTTAAAACATACTTTCAAGATTCATTTATTTATTTCACTGGCTAGTTTAGCTTGGCTTCTTAATTGTCACTGGTTTTGCTTTTAGTTTTGCAGCAAGCTTTGCCCACTATAAAAATATGTAAATTTAGCACAAACAACACTACAGTAGTTTGCTCCTCCATCATACAAAGATGAAACACAGTTAAACTTACCATCCGAAAATATTCTGCTAAGTCATCTGGGTTCCATGCAACCACGTCTGAACGGTAGGGAATGTTTCGCAAATCCATTGTAAGTTTTCTCCTCTAGGCAGTTAGAGACCGTTCATAGCAGTATGATCGATGAAACAGCCATATATTCCCTCTGTGTGACCACCTCCAGCCTGTCTGGTAATTCCTTGCCTAATACCCAGCTGCTTCTGTTTAAGACCTGGGTTTCTTTTTAATTTAGAAGTACTTTGTTAGGGCATCCAAGAGAGATACTGCTTCCTCTAACACAAAATGGTCTCTTCTTAGAAAAGCTGTCAGCTAGTCAGCCTTACCACTTCCTTTGTCTGAATATAAATAAGTAAACAAGGAAGCACAGCAAAGAGTTGAAAATGTTCTGCCTGCTACATTTAAGTAAGCTCCTATGGACCCTATTATCTAATAATTGCATACATAAATATTTACGTACTTACACACTCCGTACAGCATAAATATATTGGCATATTATCTGCGTAGACATTTGTTACTGCTTCTGCTGCTGTCTAGCCTAGGCAAGCTCCCCTCTAAAGAAGAAAACGTTCACTTGAGAGAAACTTCTTCAACTCATCTCACTGCCTGAAGTGTCACATTATCTTTCTTTGATTTGTACAACAATAAAAGGTTATTGTTGGAGTTCTACATAAGGAGATGTGCATGAATTAGGGATGGAATTACAATCAGCATTCCTTCAAATAAGGAATCTCTCAGTCAAATTAAAAAATGGACAAGCTTAGATGAAAAATTATTACATTGTCATTGTTTCGGTGCTCCATTTTTCAGCTACCTCTAATGAGGATTTTTGTGTCTGAAAAGAATCCACAGACCCATAATACTACACAGGGACATGATAGACAGCATCCGTCAGGTATAGCCAATTCAGGCACCATCCTGTCAGTAGGTCCTTTTGGTGAGACTACACTCAGTAATTCCGAATGTGCCTGTTTAAAAAAGCCAGCATGTCCACTCTCCCTTTTCTTCTTCCCAAAGTTGTGCTGGTATGAGTGCTTGGGGTCACTGTTCACATCTGTTCCAGTAGACTGCACAAAAGGTGGTATTTTGCGAGCTTCCTATATTAGTAAGAATAGATGCATAGTTCTAAAGCACTGGAAAGGAAGGTTTCTCATCTTTCTAATGAAATCCATCACTTTCACTGTTTCTAGTCATGGAAGACCTAACCTTGGGTCTGTAATTTGCAAGTGCATTGCATATGAGTGCATGTATTTGAGTTCATATCTACAAGTCTCTCTAGTCCTGTATATAAGAGTTTTCCTTTTAAAATTCAGTCTGATTTAAAGTAGCTTACTTTTCTGGAGAAATTTTGGTAAATGATAGCAGCATGATATTTAAAACGCTAAAACTAAACTGCTGTAACAGCTGTTCTAAACAGTGTAGCATTTCTCAAATACATGATGTGGCTTTTTGGTTCTTATTAGTTTTATGGGTTCTTATTAGAAATTACCTGTGTGAATCATCTGAGGCATGTACTGACAGTATCACAGAAATATCGTCACATCTTCATTGTAAATCTTGGTCTGGGGACAAAATAGGACTAAATTAGCTTGTGACAAAGAATCCCCAAAGGAGAAGTTGTTTTGATGGTGCATTATCAGCAGTGGTGAAGGGGCTATTACACAGCATACATCTCAGACACCCAATCACACACCACGTCTTTCAACAGAGAAACAAGTTTCTTACAGTACAGAGACAGGAAGAAGCCTGTGCTATAATTTCAAATTGTTCGTTCTATCACAGAATTTCATTACCTTCTAATCTAATTTCTATCCCAGATCCAGCATAGCAGCTCTAATGTCAATTGTGTTATTCCTTATTTGTACTGATGTAAAACTAATTGGTCTGATCAAAATTTATTCTGATGATGTTATAGAAGAATCATAGCATCATTTATTCTGATGCTGAGATAGAATCACAGAATCACAGAATTATTTAGGCTGGAGAAGACCTTTAAGGTCATTGATTCCAACCATTAACTTAGCACTGCCAAGTCCACCACTAAACTGTGTCCCTAAAGACCACATCTATATGTACAAGACATACAAGAGGAGACAGGAGAAAAACAGTCACCTTTAAAGTCAATCTCCTTGTCTAGAGAGCAACTAACACAGAAATTCTAAATGTTAATCTCATCATTATTACCCAAACTTGGATCCTGTCTGTGTCACTGTGAGTATATTATAGCTGCATGTGTATTTCATGCATTTTGCAAAACCCAGCTGCGCAAGTACTTGAGCTTTGTCTCTGCCTAGAACTTCTTTTGTAATGTGATAAACACATAGGATGTGGTGGCCAAGTGAGGCTCGCTGAGGAAACATCATTTGTATTTTCTGCATTTGAATTTTCAGATTTACTGCTAGATCAATGTAACAATTTTAAATTGCATTTCCAACCTAAGTAGGTATTTGAACATATCAATGGAAAATGTTCAACTCGCGAATAACCATGCATGAGTCATGGTCCCCAATCCCAACCAGACTGCAGAGAGTTGTTTTGAAAGATGCTTTTAAATGTCTGTCTTTGTGGCCCAGAAATGCAATGTGGCAAATCCCATATTCCACAAAAGGAAAATCTTGATCCCAGAAAAAGGATCCCACATTATTTCCTCACTCTTTTAATTGTTCTTCTGTTCACTCTTCCTGTATTTTCCTGCTTCTTCGTTATTTCTTTTTCTCTCTTCAGAGTCACTGTTGTTACCTCCAGAATTGGCACTTTCTCCCAGTGCGTCTGTTGCCTCCAGTGTCTTCTACTCAGAGGCAACTTCAACACTGACGGTCACCAAGAGAGGAAATGGAAAGAGAAGAAGTTTAATGTCCATGATTAATGTCTGGCAAGCCCACGTGCCAGAATCTCTAGTCAGATCTGGGTAGGAGTGTACAGGAGGATGTTCGGGAAGCAACCACAGCTGATTTTTACGGAGGAAGACAGAATGAGTGCAGGGATAGTATTGGGGTAGTTAAATGAACTGCAGCCAACAGACAGGGCCACAGAGCGTTCCTGGGGAAGAACGTCAAGTTTGACAGGCTACATGCAAAAATTTGGTTGACAACTAAATACATTTCCGAGATGACAATCCTAACTATCTGCTGGGAATGATCACATGCTTTGGACCTTAGCAGTTCAATATTATATTGCAAGAAACGGAGACACAATAAGTAGGCAGCACAAGATACATCTGTTCCATAAGATAATTTGTTATATACTTCAGTTGGCAATCTTCCATGAAATGGATTTTAAGCTCTTAGATTTTCAAATGCTGAGAAACATTGACATTACAACTACTATCACATGCATACCTTTTCTGTTGTGACCTTTTTTCCCCTCTTTTTAAAGAATTAGGTCTTTTACAGTTGACGCCTGCAGTGATACAACCTTCCCATAAAAAATGCGTCAAATAACAGCTGCCAATGGTACAGTTCTTTCAGATGAAGCGATGGTCTGGTGACTGATCTTTGAAAATGTGAGAGTCTAACCATTTCAGGCACCGCAGGAGGGAAATTTACACTGCCCACATTCCGCTGCCTTCAAAGAGCCTCAATATTTTCCAATTTCTCTCACTTCTTTCCGCTGGTCTGTCCAGCAGCACCCTGTTTTAAGTGGAGTCAAAGGCTTACTTTGAACAGCTTTCTGAATGGCTTATTTTTTCTAGAATAACTCAGTCTATATGTCAGTTTTCCTAGAGTGAAGCAAAAAAAGTTCAAATTTCATAAGAAGTTAGTCTTCATGTTCATCTCAGTCCCAAAGCAAAGCTGATCTTTATGACATGTTTTTCTTTGGCCTGCCCAATTTTGTTTTTAAAAGACTTGGGTACTTTCTTCCTTTTGTCCTGGGAATATTTACCATTGCCAGCCTATATTTCCTCTTTTAACAGCACATGCCTTATTCCAAAGCTGTGTACCTAACTATAATGTGGAAAAAAAATGCTTTCATTTTTATACCCTTTAAAAATCACTGCAGTATTGTTATATATCCCTTGCTGTCTTAAATAATCACTGCGCCACACTTTCCCCTCCTCAAATGTCCTTATCCATTATTTCCTTAATTCTTATAGTCAAGTGTTGACCTTGACTTTGCAATGCCTGTGCACTAATACAAGATCCAAAAGTCTTGCCAGCTTAATAAAGCTCTTTTGTAGGAATAGAACTATGAGTCTTCCTCACCACCTAGTGGCTAAGTCACAGACCGACACCAAACAGTAACGACCGCTGTTTTCAAAAACAAGGATGGAGACTAAATTGCTGACGCTGGGTTTTATTACTTGGGTTATATATATATGGCACGTCAATGGGACTAGCAATCGAGGTAGATGGTAACCAACCTACCTGCATCTGAAATACACGGTTTGAATAAAACTGTGTCTGAGATACTGGATCCAAATCCAATTTCACACACAAAAAAATTCTGTACTGATTCTGAACTGAACCCTCAGCAATGATTTTCTAGCCTGTAAAAAATGTGCGTACTTGAAGAAGCATATTTTCCATCGCTAGTGAATTGTGTTTCTTTGGGGAGTTTAGGCAATTCCAAAATGCCTGAAATCCCACAATACAGCCACCAGAGTGCAGCTGAACTCTATTCAGAGAACAGAGAGAAACAAACAGCTATTAAAGTGCTGTAAAAAAAAGGCAAGTAAGTAGTTAGAGATATTCTAGCAAGAGTACTGTTTGTTCAGGTATATTTTTTTTTCCACTCTGTTAGGGTCCTAAGTGGCATAATGTGTCTAGATTGTCCAGAGACACTGCAAATGCACACAGAGGAGAAAACCTAGCAGACCTTAAAAAGAATGTTTTGCTTACTCTGGGAAAGGAAAGTTGGAGATGAGGGAAGGAAAAAGGAGACAAACTTAGTGACTTTGGGTGATAGTAATCAGTTGTTCTTGTGACCTGTGATAGGCTCTGCTAACAAGAAAAGCAGCTGCAAGCTTGAAAAGTAAGTATTGCAGATTGAAGAACTCTCTTGCCCAGTATTTGGACTGTTTAGTGCAATTCAACAGCTCAATTCATAAACTACCAAACAATGCTAGCTGTGCTGTG